AACCCTTGTTGATTTGCATTAATTACATCACCCTCCTTTAATTCTTTATTCAGTGAGTCCTAGATCAGCTGCTCCATTATCTTGCCTTTGATCGATGTCAGGTTGACAGGCCTGGTCATCCCGTTTACCCTTTTTAAATACTGGCACACCATTAGCTTTCTTCCGGTTTTCTGGAACTTCCCCAGTGCTCCAAGACTTATTGAAAATCAACATTACCACTCCAGCAAGCTCCTCAGCCAGCTCTTTAAAAACTTCTGGATGCAAGTTAACTGAACCTGTTGATTTAAACATGTCTGACTTTAGTAGCTTCTGTTTAACATCCTCCAGAGATACTAGTGGAATGGAAAGAGTGTTATCAACACCATATGATGAGACTATATCATCTGTTTTTATCCCAAATACAGAACAGAAATATTTATTGAACACTTCTGCCTTTTCTGCATTATTATTGATAATTCTACCATTTCCATCTAGTAATGGACCAATATCATTGTCAGGATTTCTTTTGTCCATAGATTTTTTCCTTGTGTCCCTTTGCTTCCCTTATCAATTTTCTTCAATTCCTAACTTATGATTTATATTCATTACTATCATCTTCCCCTTTCGTTCATTTGTTATATATTATTATTTTTTATAGCTGCCTTCATGTGTCCTCTAGACCAAATTGTTTTTATAACCAGCACATGTTATGGGATTGCCCTGTGAGCCATTGAGATATTAAGGCTGATTTCTTTCTCTCCACCAAGGTGGAACTGTAGGCTGGCCATAACATCCTAGGCCTGACCAATCCATTTTGGAAACTGAAATTCACTGGAAAGCTTTGGTTGGGTAGAGCTCTGACCAGAGCCAAACATCTAATTCTGCAATAGTAGAAGTCCCAAGTGAGTCCAGCTACTGGAGACTGGTACTCTAGTGAGCCTGGAAGCAATGGAACAAATCACATTTTGCAGTAGAAACAACCACTATAAGTTGGTAGATATCGGATTCCAGGCCATAGGCTCTCTTTAATATCTTGTGCTCCTCCCCAGGTTCCACTGCATCATCCTGCCCTTCAGGGAGCGGCTCAGTCTTCTCAAGGCTGTGATAATTATCGTCGTCATGTGGGTTCTAGCCATAGCCATCATGTGCCCTTCTGCCATCCTGCTGACCGTCGCCCACATGGAGGACCACTTCCTGGTGCTAAACGATGGGTACAACACCACCTACCCCCTCTACACCTGCTACGAGGCCTGGTCTGACAGCAGCATGCGGAAACTGTACACCACCATCCTCTTCACCCACATCTACCTCATCCCCCTCGTGCTCATTGTCTTCATGTATGGAAGAATCTGCCTGAAGCTCTGCAGCTCCACGGTGCCCATCCCCGAACATCCCACCTGTGCCAGCAGAGTCGGTAGCACATCCAGAAAGAGGATCAGGGTCATTAAGATGCTGATCTTGGTTGCACTCCTCTTTGTGGTCTCCTGGCTGCCTTTGTGGACGCTGATGCTGCTGGTGGATTACACCAACTTGACTGATGACCATCTGGATTTGCTGACAGGCTATTTCTTCCCCTTTGCCCACTGGCTAGCTTTCTCTAATAGCAGCATCAACCCAGTCATCTACGGCTACTTCAATGAGAACTTCAGGAGGAGCTTCCAGGCGGCCTTTAACTTCCAGCTGTGTTCCCAGGAGACAAAGCATAAGGAGACTTACTCTGAGCACTCTCGCGTCCCCACCAGCTTCAGGATGTGCAATAGAGTCTTTGCGAAGGCAACCTCCTCCAACTGTGTATCCTCCCATCACACTCAAAACGCTGCCTCTCTCTTCTCCAGAAGTGTTCAGCCCATGTGCCCTGGCCTGGGCTTGGAAAACATTGATAAAATAATGCCCTACCACGGAGTAACCCAGGCCTGGGAGAAATCAGAGGCATAAAAGTGGAGAGCAAGCAATACCCTCCCCTATTTCTATGAGAAGAAAAGCCTGTCTTCTCCTCATTCAGGTGGAAGAGACCTTCGGCTTAGCTGGGGTCCTTCATTCACTCTAGAGGTGAGAAGAAAAGTTCACAAAGGTGCATTTGAGAGGAGGGTGGTTGATCCTGTGGAGTCCTGCGTTGTATCCTTGCCACTGACCTGCTGTGGGACTTTGGGCACGTCATTTCTTCTCTCTGTGCCTCGGATTTCCGATGTGTCCAGTGAGAGTAGCTGTGATACTGACTCGCCTTTGTAAAGCACTTCGACATCTGTGGATCGTCATCCTCACAACTGTGCATGTTCCTGCTCAATGGAACCAGGTTGTTTTATGTGGATTGAACTTTATTCAACTGGACGTCCTTCATCTTCTCTTTATGCTTAGCTGCCAATGGGTTGTGAGGGTGTGCAGCTGATACAACGGACAGCGGGTATCGCCAGACCCTGGGTAAAGGACGGAGAGATGAGAAAAGAAATAACAGCAAAACTAAAAAGCGAAATGCATTGACACAACTGTCCTGTGAGGGTTGTGGTGGGATAGCTGGGTTTGGGATGATCCAGTGCTCAATGCAGGGAGATATTCTCCAAGGCTAATTCCTTGCAGACTCTTAAAACCAGCCCTCTCTCCAGCCGTGGTTTCTCACTGGGAGACAAGGCTCTCTCGATCATTTGCCTAGTGCTAAGTTTTCATGAACCTCAGTGAGACAGATTTGCAAACCATCAGTGCATTTGCACCCTGTCATGGCTAAGCATGTTTTCCCCACTTGCACATGAAAGCTTGTCCTTACACAACATGGACCGTCCCTCTTGACAAGTTTACAAACTGCTGCTTAAGTCTGCCTGGGAAATTGGTGGCTTGGAAGTCCATCAATTCACATGCCAAATGGGTATTTGCACCTGGAGATAGCCATGGGATAGGCAATGGACATTTATGCAAATCTGAAGTACTGTCCCACGCTGGTGCATCAACAGAGGAGGTTTTGGTACAAATTGACAAATTAAACAGTGATAAGACACCCAGACCAGATGGGATTCACCCCCGAGTTCTGACAAAATTCAAATCTGAAGTTGCAGAACTGCTAACTGTGGTATGTAGCCTATTGCTGAAACAAGCCTGTGTGCCAGATGAGTGGAAGGTAGCTAAGGTGATGCTGATTTTTAAAAAGGGCCACAGAGGTGATCCTGGCAATTACAGGTCGGTTAGCCTGACTCCAGCACCAGGCAAACTGGTAGAAACTATTGCAAATAGTTCACGGGGCAACACTGGTACAGGGAGGTGAAAAGTACATTTCACTATTCCAGTTTCAGTGAATGGAGTCCCGCAAATTGTACAGAACTGATGGGGCTGTATCTCAGACGACAGACTTTCCATGTGGGCTGTTCACTTGGGTTAGCATTGCATTCTGCTCCGTTTTGCTCAGTTGTCACTAGTGCAAAGACAGGACCATTGTGAAATCCAAGCCACGCCAGTCATCAACCATTTCTTAGCTTGTGAAACGGAACTGTTTTTAAAAATCCTTTAACGCTCTCTGCATTAACTAGGTAATCCCAGCAGTGCCAAAATAACAAGAAAGACAAAGCAAAGGGTGTTGCAAGGACCAATTAATGTTTGTTCAAATAAGCTGAAAATCAACAGCGCTGTATCTTGGTCATTCTTATGTGCACGAAAATAAATACTGCCGGAATCCTTTCACTGAGAGCCAGAGTCCAGAGCAAACTGTCTTTGTCACCAAATAAGCAGATTAGTCCTTTTTTTTTTTCCACTTAATCAACCATAACAGCTGACTCAACAATGAGACTAAATCAAACACACAAAAAGCACCCAGGGAAACAAAGCTCGGGAGGCAGAGGGTGCTGACAAGCACCCAGCTCGGCACTCACCGAGCACATGACCCTCCCCACACTAATCCTGAAGGGAATGAAGAAATACAAACCCCCTCCTGAAAGCCCAATACACGTCAAACCAGAATGCAAACACCAGCTGAGAACAGAGAGGCCCAGAAGGGTTCTTACACAATACCCAGGTTTGGGGTGGACAATCGGTGACTCCCCCATTCAAGATGGGGACCCTAAACCCCTCCAGTATATTCTTAGATACTTACAGCACAACAGTCAATGCAGAACTGGTGGGGTGTAGGACTAGAGCTCCCCAAACCCCACTGCCATATGCAGTATGGGTCACCGCTAGATCCCAAAGCTCTTTTCAGCAGGCTCATGATCCCCATTTTACAGATGGGGCAAGGGAGGCACCAGCTGGCAAAGTGACTTGCCCAAGGCCACAAATTAAGTGAGTGGCAGAGCAGGGGACAGAACCCAGGGGTCCTGCTTGCTAGGCTCCTGCTCAATGCACTAGGCAGAAGCCAGAGACCTCAGAACATGGTGCTCTAAGGCAGCAGCCCAGGGGAGAGGCCAAGAGGCATTAGTCTGTTTCCTAGGTGCATACAATCTCGGGGGGGGGGGGAATCCACAAGCCAATCTGTATACAAAACATAACTAACTGCCATCCTGGGGCTGTCATTAGACTTGTTATCTGTGGGAAGAAAGGAAAAACTCCAGTCACCGTTCAATGTTTGTATCTGATTGTCCCTCCTGCCTCCTCTGCTGCCTGCAGTTTGTGTTTGTTCAATAGCCACTAGCTTCACTTTTCCCCGATACACACAAGAGATACTCTCCCCCCCCCTCCCCCGGGCTCTATTCCACGCAGAGCCTGGCAGGCTACATCGCAGCATCCGAGGATATGACAGCCTGTAATTGCAGTTCCACAACTGCAGAAGCTTTTCCCCTCTGTGCAATCCAGGGGGGAGGCCGTATTATCGCAGTGAGATCTTGTGCTCTCAGTGGGAGAGTTCCCTCAACCAGGCACACTCAGCTGTATTCTTGGCAGCCTGTCTGGGCAGGTGTCTGTGGGCAGGAAAGCAACCCAGTCCTTGAGAGGTCTGTGCAAACATGCACAATCTAGTCCTCAAGCAGCCCCCAGACTTGGGAGACAAGCCTGGTGCAGGGGAGAGGGGCCTTGCTCGGCAAGACTCCGCTGCCCCTCATGCTGTCTCGGCCATAATGACTCCCCGGACGTCAAAGGCATTACGCCGAGTAGAACTCACGGGAGATGAGAATCAGGCCTCTCCCAGACTGGCCATTGCAGGCTGTGTGATGCTGGGCCAGGCATTCAGGCTGATATTTCAGGGTCTTAGAGACTATGAGGAGGAGCGTCGGGTATAAAAACAGAGAGCGAGAGAGAGCCTCCCTTGGCTGTGTTCCAGGACGAGGTGGGTTGAACAAAGCCCCGCTGTCGCCCGCCGTCCCCCCCAGTTTAGAGGTGCTGTTTCCCGAGTCCTTTCCCCCCCCCCCCCCCCGTTTCCCTGAACATGCCAGTGGCCACATCAGCTGCATCTTTCCCCGTCGCTGCTTCAGACTCCGGACAGATTGTGGAGAATTCTGCCCAAGCCTGACAATCCCTCGGTGGCTGGAACGCCTGACTTCCCAATGGGTGCCCATGGCCGTTAGCCCAGCACATGAGGCTGTGCCACTCTGGCATATCCATTGGCTGGGCCTGAGCTGCTGACGGCCTTTCTTTGTCAATGCCACCTGTTGGACCGACTGGTCTGGGGAGGCAGCAGCAGCAGTATGTCCCCAGGAAAGGGCCCGTGCAGCTATCCTGATTCCCACCACTGGGATTGGCACTGTCGGGAGCTGAGCCGAGACCTGACCTGTTGTCAGAGGGCGCTTGGTTTTCAAACATGGAGAGTGGACTCAAAACCCAGGGCCACCCGGGGGGGTGGGGGCGGGCGGGCAAGTGGAGCAATTTGCCCCGGGCCCCGCAGGGGCCCCCACGAGAGTTTTCAGCGGGTCTTCGGTGGCAGGTCCTTCAGTGCCGCTGAATACACCCAGAGCGACCCGCTGCCGAAGACCCGGAGCTGACGCCACCAGCACCCTGCACATAACTGTGGACGCTTTGCAGGACCCCAGGCAGAGACACCTGCCATGAACAGTGAGGAGGAGATGGGCGGGGTGATGCAGTGTGGGGCTCAAACCATACCGTGAGTCAGGAGCTGTTTGAAATTCCTCTGGAGTCAAGCCAGTCCCTTCAAGCCAGCACAGATTAGCCCATTGCTGAAGGACAAGGGAGCTCAGGTAAGTTTGTACATGAATTATTCCCCATAGTAATACTTCCCCTTCCACGGGAGGGGAGGGCGAAGGAGGAAGGGAGGTAAATGAGGTTGCTTGAAACCTCATTTACCTCCCTTCCTCCTTCGCCCTCCCCTCCCGTGACCTTCGCCATTTAAAAATCGCACCCATCTGTGATGCTCGATGCTATTACGGTCACCACTTTTACAAGATTATGATACATTTTGTACATGTGCCTTGTGAGGTATCATTTGAAAACTCATAATCTGCTGAACGTTGTTGTCCTGGTAAAATGTGTGTATCAACACTGTCTGAGAAGTTATTAGATGCTCCTATGTATTATCGGTATAACATGCTCCATTGTTAAGACAAGCAGGTCCAACCTAGATTTTCAGAGACAACCACGCAATAGCTCCCCAGCCAGATGTTCAAGGGTGATCACCGGCTTCCGCAGCTATTCTTCAGAACCGGGAAGGTGTAAACAAGAAATGTACATTTCATTTCAGAGACAGTTCAGACCTCACGTACACAAGAGACTGTTGGTCTGCACCCCGGCAGGGGTAATTCTCCAAGACAGGAGAGAGAATAAGAATGAGAGACAGGGGCCTCGTCCTCCCAGCTCTCTGCTCATGTCATCAATGAGCACCTGAAGGACCCTGAACTGGGGGAGGGGTTCCTGGCTGAAAGGAAACCCAACCTTTGAGCTATTACAACTTGTGGTGAGAGAAAGATACTTGCTTTAAATCCTACCAACGAAGCTGAAGGTCTACCAAGCAGTGGTGCTTCCAACTCTGCTGTACGCCAGCGAGACGTGGACTGTCTATCGGAGTCATGCACGAAGGCTCAATCACTTCCACATTTCCTGTCTGTGAAAGCTTCTAAAAATCAGATGGCAGGACAAAGTGCCCGATACTGATGTCCTTACTAGAGCCAGTCTGCCGTCAGTTCACACTTGCTGATGAGAGCCCAGACCAGGTGGGACGGACATGTCGTGAGAATGTCAGACGAACGCATTCCTAAACAGCTCTTCTATGGAGAACTCACTCAGGGAAAGCGCTCCCATGGAGGACAAAAGAAGCGGTTCAAGGACACGCTGAAGACCTCTTTGAAGTCCTTTGAGATCAACACCGCCACATGGGAAACCTTCGCACTGGACCGTTCAGCATGGCGCAGCTTCATTCACACAGGCAGTAATACCTCTGAGGCGAGGCGTATTGCTGAGGCTGAAAAAAAGCGTGAGCTGCGCAAGTCCACAGCTGCTCGTACATCATTGACAGTGCCATTACATGTCTGCCCGACGTGTGACAGGACGTTCCACGCCCGAATCAGACTGATCAGTCATCTTCAGACGCACAGAGCCCGGTCATCGAAAGAATGAGTTATTGAGGTCTTCATCGATAACGATGGACGAACATCATTCGCTTGTTAAAGTTTAGGAATTCACTTGCATTTTTCTCTTTTTTTTCTAACCAATTCTGACTTTTATGCTTTATCACTTGTAGTCACATAAGATCTCTCTTTCTGTCATTAATACACTTGTGTTATTGTTTTACCTTAACCAGTGTGAGTTTGAGTTAGTGTGTGGGAAACTCCATTAGGGATAACAGAGATGGTGCATTATCGTTTTCATTTGCTGAGCTTGTCCTGTCCAGGAGGATACCGTGCACTACAAGACACACATTTCTGGGGGAAAGTCTGGGACTAAGAATTTGTGGGTGTTGCCCTGTATGTAATTAATAAGCGACGGGTCAGAGTGCTCATGCATTTCGCTGGGAGTGAATTTCCTTGCTGAAAGCTGTGCGTGAGCAGAACCTGGAGAAGTGATTGTTCTCCAGCAAAGCAGTGTAAAGGAATCCCGCCGTTCAACAGTCCAGATTATACCCTATGTGTCACACCATCCCAGCCACCAACGTAGAGAACAAAGACGTTGACTTTTAATGGCATACTTTACTGGTATCATGTCAGAAAATAAAATGTATGGGAATACATTAAAAAAAATAGCCTGGCAGTCCAGTTGTACCGTCCACATGAGAGCAGTGGCCTGTGCTTGGGTAGCGAGAGAAGAAACGGTCGGTGCCCACTTTGCAGTTGTTTGGTTTGATGGACAATGCAGGGGCGCCATCTGGGGTACTTTGTCTCTCTGAATAGGGACGTCCCTTTTGTCCTATTGAGAGCGCTCCATGAAATGTCCACGCAGATCCTCTGCAGTCCTCTCCCCAACACTTCTAGGGATGGCAGCCTTGTTTCTCCCCCCGCCAACAGGGCACTTTGGCTCACCCCTCTGCAATGAGATCAGCTGGCCCCATTGCAGCAGACAGGCTAGCAGCAGACTAGCCCAGGCGGCTCTGGAAGGCCAGTAGTAGCTGGGTTCTCTGTGCCTTTGTCACCCTCAGGAGTCAGATCTCAGCCAAACTCACCCCTGCCCGTGAACCTATTGCCAATATTCACTGCTCGCGTCCTACACCCATGCCCAGCTTTTCACAGAACAGCTCTACCCTCCTCCCCACTAGGCCGTGCTCCCCATGTCTTGTGCTGCGAAGAGATGCTGCAAAGCCGACATGACAATTAG